TCGAGGAAAGTAAAGTAAGATGCCTGGGAAAGCTCTAATGGCTTTATTTAGAGAAAGTGACTCAATTAAAGTGTTACAAAACCCACACTTACTAAACTATATAGTCAGTATATGCAGTAAACATGCTTGTTATATTCACTGTGGAATCAAAGGGGTTAAATCCTTTGCACTGTGCGAAAAGGCTGCTTGATTCTGTCTTCTCTGATCCTCCCCTTATTTTACTGTCCCCAATCCATCTGCCATAGTACAGAGCAGCAGTGCAAAGCCTGCACATGCTCTATTGTGTATTGCTAGAGAGTTTTTTTTTTTGGGGGGGGGAGGGTGCATGTGATTGGCACCTAGCCAATCAGCACTGTCCAGATAGAAGGCCAGGGGTTATGCAGCCTCATAGGACAGTCATGGGAGAGTGAAAACTCCTCCTACAAGATTAACCAGTGCTTGGCCAGACACTGATAGAAGTCACAAGACTGCTATATATTGCTGATGAGAAAAGGCATTTAGCTGTTTATATTTACTGAAATAATTGCATTTCCATGTTTTGTGTACTGTGGAAGACTGGATATAGTGAATGCAGGGTCTTGGTTCTAGTAGCACTTTAAATCCAAAAGGCAGGTAGTGGCCTCAGGCTATATCTAGATCATAGCGATGGATAATATAAAAGCAACACTGTCTATCCAATAATCCTGTATTTTCTGACATGATGTAAGTCAGAATACTTTCTGTCACATAACAATATCTTTCTGACATGTAAGATTAGAATAAACTTGGCGCCATGTTCATTTGCAGCCAGGTAGTGTTTAAGCTGACAGAATTGGAGCTCTGTTTTCCTCGTGTACATCTGTGCTAATGATTATCATGACACTTTAGCATTTCGAAAGGTATTGTCACAAGGTTGCAATTTACATGTCTGTCGCATAGTCAAGAGAACAGCAGTCCAAATTGTTTACTGTCTGAAACTATCTAAGAACATGCAGAGATTACCAATGTTATTAGTAGTGTTCAGCATTAAAATGCACCCCTTGCACTGTCTTCTAATTGCAATATGTAAGAATGTCAGATAACAGCTGCCACAGCATTTCCTATTTTAATCATTTGGGGAACAGAAGTAAATAGAAAAAAAAAGAGAGCATGACAAGACTTTATTTCTAAGCAATAGCATCCATGAAGGCAATGTTTCACAAACATTTAGTCAATGCTAACACAACATCCTATGTTTTTAGTCCCCTTAATACCTCAGTGTTCTGGTGCGTTGCATTAACCACTTGCCTACCAGGCACTTATATACCCCCCTTCCTTACCAGGCCAATTTTCAGCTTTCAGCGCTGCCGCACTTTGATTGACAATTGCGCGGTCATGCAACATTGTACCCATATGAAATTTTGATCATTTTTTCCTCACAAATAGAGCTTTCTTTTGGTGGTATTTAATCGCCACTGGGCACTTTACTTTTTTGCGCTATAAATAAAAAAGTGCAAAAAATTTGAAAAAAAAAAAAGTTTCTTTGTTTCTATTATAAAATTTTTCAAACAGGCATTTTTTCTCCTTCACTGATGTGCGTTGATGAGGCAGCACTGATGGGCACTGATAGGCGGCACTGATGGGCACTGATAGGCAGCACTAAAGGGCACTGATAGGCAGTACTAATGAGGTGTCACGGATAGGCGGCACTGATAGACAGCACTAATGAGGTGTCACGGATAGGCGGCACTAATATGCAGCACTGATAGGCGGCACTGATAGACAGCACTAATGAGGTGTCACGGATAGGCGGCACTAATATGCAGCACTGATAGGCGGCACTGATAGGTGACACTGATGATGGGTACTGATAGACGGCACTGACTGGCATCACTGCTGGGCACTGACTGGCGGCACTGACTGGCACAACCCCTGGGCACTGACTGGTGGCACTGACTGGCAGCACTGCTGGGCTGCACTGGTGGGTGGCACTGCTGGGCAGCACTGGTGGGTGGGTGGCACTGGTGGGCACAGGTGGGTGGGCACAGGTGGGTGGCACTGCTGGGCACATATAGGTGGCACTTCTGGGCACAGGTAGGTGGCACTGCAGAGTGGCACAGGTGGGTGCACTGCTGGGCACAGGTGGGTGCACTGCTGGGCACAGGTGGGCGGAGCTAGTGGGCGCACTGCTGGGCGGAACTTGCGGGTGGCACTGCTGGGCACCGATCATCAGGGCACTGATCATCAGTGCCCTGATGATCGGTGCCGATCCCCGCTCTGACAACTGCCCGTTCTCGGCAGTACTTTCCTCACGATCTGACAGTGTGAGGAAAGTGCAGCCGAGAACCGGCACTTGCATTTCCCTCTGATCAGCGGTCATTGGACACTGCTGATCTGGTGGTAAAAGGCCGCTGTGATTGGCCTTTTACCACATCACGTGATCAGCTGTGTCCGTAGGACACAGCGATCACGGAGATCGCCGGGTGCGCGCCCCCTGGGGCGCGCAGGAGAGCGCGTTCTGGGAGGACGTCATATGACGTCCACCCAGAACTGGCCGGCCGCGGTGAAGTCGTCATTCGACTATGCGCGGTCGGCAAGAGGTTAATGCATGTTTGTTTTAAGGTTGCCTATTACACTCACCGGCCACTTTGTTAGGTACACCTGTTCAATTGCTTGGTAACACAAATTGCTAATCAGCCAACCACATGGCAGCAACTCAATGCATTTAGGCATCTAGATGTGGTGAAGATGACTTGCTGAAGTTCAAGCCGAGCATTAAGGATTTAAGTGACTTTGAACATGGCATGGTTGTTGGTTCCAGACAAGCTGGTCTTTCAAAAACTGCTGATCTACTGGGATTTTAATGCACAACCATCTCTAGGGCTTACAGAGCATGGTCCAAAGAAGAGAAAATATCCAGTTTTGTAGAGGTCAGAGGAGAATGGGCAGACTGATTTGAGATGCTAGAAAGGCAACAGTAACTCATGTCAATATGGACCAACATCTCTGAGGAATGTTTCCAACACCTTGTTGAATCTATGCCATGAAGATTTAAGGCAGTTCTAAAGGCAAAATGTGGTCCAACCCGGTACTAGCAAGGTGTTCCTAATAAAGTGGCCAGTGAGTATAGCTTTGGATAGGCAGGTAATGCACCATAACCCAGTAAAAATCAGACCTGCAGCAACTTTTAAAGGCTAATTCCAGCTTATGTCACTTTAAAATAGTTTGTTTGGACCAAGCTTGATGAGGTGGAGAGGTGGGTGGATGACTTGACTCCAGAAACTAGAACTGAACTTGTACACATTGATTCTGGGTCCTTTGCAGCTAGTGGAGATCAGCAAACAGAAGTTTGCTGGTCTCCCTCCCTTCCACCTGACAACACCCACCAACAGGTCCCGGGTTTGTCATTGGGACAATGCAGTAAAAGCATCTCCTATGTTCAAATGTGGTACTTAGAGCTTGATATGTTTTTGCAGTCAGGAAACTCATACTCAAGGGCATGCAAAAAGAAATGCCTGTGCTCAAAGGAATGTGCAGGCGCGCAATATAACTGCATAGAATGTGTGCATCTACATGAGCGCATGCGCATAGACGTGCGCTTGCACATGCACGTGAGCACTAGCATGAGCATGCTTGTTCTAGCTCCCAGTGGCTTATTTAAAGCTCTACTGGAGTTAGGATCATTGCTGAGTGGTCGTCAGCTCCCTTTGCTTGTGACCTCATCCTGTGCACTCCTGTACTCTGACCCAGCTTGCTGAATCCTGCTTGTTTCTTAACTCTCTGCTGACTTTGGTTTGTGATCCGACCTTGCTTCCTTCCTGCTGTTTGGGTACTGTGATGAGCGCAGTGTCAGACCACAGTCCTTCTCACCAACTTGTGACAGAAGGACAAGCGAATCTAATACCGCGCTGCCACTTGCGTAACAAAGCCACTCTCAGCTGCACCCTGCACAAAGATTTTCCAGCTCACTGGACCCCAATCTAGGTACCAGCAGCCTCAGAGTGATTGTTATTGGGTCAGGTTAATTACGCAATTAACCCTTCACACTGCCACCACCACCTTTTTACAGAGAAGGAGGAAACTCACAAATCTTAGCAGTAACACTATGATGTTTGAATAAGTATCTGTATAGACACTGTCACCTCAGACCGATGTATTCAGAGGTTTTAAAACACACAGTAGCACTCTCCAGAGACAGGGATTGTTAGTTTGCATTAAAGAGCTTTAGAATCAGTTCAACACTTTTAAGAAAATAGGATTTATTACTAAAAAGGTCAAAATGGTGCAATAAAAATATTTACAGAAAAGATGTAAGCAATATATATATATATATATATATATATATATATATATATATAAATAGAGAGAGCAATAACACAACAGACAGCACTAAAAGCTGAAAATTGGTCTGGGCAGGAAGCTGTAAAATTGCCGGTATTGAAATGGTTAATAAAAGTGTACACCATTCGTAGCACTTTCATTCTAATCTTGCACTGTAATTGGTGGTAGACTGGCCTATTTTTTCTATGCAGCAACTCATTTACTCTCTGCATTCATTTGTTGCAACCTTAGTAGTACCCATAGCCGCTCCAACAGAGTGCAGCATAACCAAGTTTACCACTCTCCACTCCCCCATGTCTCTTTCCACACAGTGTGTATTCTTGCAAACTTGCTCTCTGTATATGTACTGTAATATTATCATTACTCTATAGCAGTGATGGCGAACCTTTTTGAGCCCGAGTGCCCAAACTGCAACCCAAAACCAACTTATTTCTTTCAAAGTGCCAACACTGCAATGAAACCTGAATATCGAGCTTTTGGTTTAGAAAAAACAACTCGTACAGTAGTGCAAACTAATTAACAGTACAGGGATGACCAGAGACTGCGGACAGTACAGGGATGACCAGAGACTGCAGACATGGTACAGGGATGACCAGAGACTGCGGACACGGTACAGGGATGACCAGAGACTGCGGACACGGTACAGGGATGACCAGAGACTGCGGACATGGTACAGGGATGACCAGAGACTGCGGACACGGTACAGGGATGACCAGAGACTGCGGACACGGTACAGGAGATGACCAGAGACTGCGGACACGGTACAGGGATGACCAGAGACTGCGGACACAGTACAGGGATGACCAGAGACTGCAGACATAGTACAGGGGATGACCAGAGACTGCGGACACGGTACAGGAGATGACCAGAGACTGCGGACACGGTACAGGGATGACCAGAGACTGCGGACACGGTACAGGGATGACCAGAGACTGCGGACACGGTACAGGGATGACCAGAGACTGCGGACACGGTACAGGGATGACCAGAGACTGCGGACACGGTACAGGAGATGACCAGAGACTGCGGACACGGTACAGGAGATGACCAGAGACTGCGGACACGGTACAGGGATGACCAGAGACTGCGGACACGGTACAGGGATGACCAGAGACTGCGGACACGGTACAGGGGATGACCAAAGACTGCGGACACAGTACAGGGATGACCAGGGACTGCGGACACAGTACAGGGATGACCAGAGACTGCGGACAGAGTACAGGGATGACCAGAGACTGCGGACAAAGTACAGGAGATGACCAGAGACTGCGGACACAGTACAGGAGATGACCAGAGACTGCGGACACAGTACAGGAGATGACCAGAGACTGCAGACACAGTACAGGAGATGACCAGAGACTGCGGACAGTACAGGGGATGACCAGAGACTGCGGACAGTACAGGGATGACCAGAGACTGCGGACAGTACAGGGATGACCAGAGACTGCGGACAGTACAGGAGATGACCAGAGACTGCGGACAACAGTACAGGGATGACCATAGTCGAGAGAATCCTCTTGCGCTAGAAATGGTGAACGACTAATACAGCTGCCAACACTCTCCTACTAATGCCTAGTGTAGTGTGCAAACATGAATAAATATATAGTGTGGTGCTCAAAATATATAAATAAATAAATATATATAAATAAGTGATCAATTCATATACAAAATGTAAAAATCATGACTACTATCAACTAAAATAAATAATCAATAAATAAATAATTGCAATAATACCTCAAGTGATCACACTCTAAATGATTAAAGTGTCTCAAATAAATAACTAATCAATAAATAAGTGCATCAATAAATAACTCAAGTGATCACACTCTAAATGGATCAAGTGGCTTAAATAAATCACATGCTTGTAATTGACATAATAGTGACCAAAAAAAGTAATAACAGCTTAATATAAATCAACCAGTGTTTAAAGTGCCAAAAAATAGTGCAAGAAAATATATAAATGTCCGTTCCTTCTACAAATCAATATATAGAATGTTCTTCAAGTGATAAATCAATTCATGCAATATACGGTGATGCTCAATAAATGATTTGTGCCAAAATCTTCTCCAAACAGTGGCTAAATTTCCTCCTCACCTCCTCCCTGCGACCCCTAAGGGCCAACAGGCTTGTAGGATCAACCTGGATCCTAAAATCAAATGGGCCAACAACTTTTTCTTCCTTCTTTGTATTTCCTGGTGGGCCTCCTATTTCCCTTATTCAGCCAAGGTGCCTCTGAAGAACAGTGGCTTACCAATCCAGTGAGCCAAAGAAGAAAACACCCTCTAAGTGTAGTATTAAAGACTCCTTTATTTTCAAATGCAAAGTAGCAAAACTCACATATCTCAGCAGTCCTCCCTCCTCACCGATGTGTGGGTACACTGCATGTGAATTGGGACTTCCTGGGTATAGCAAGATGGCGTCACACGCCGGAAGTGCGTCACCGCGCACCGGAGACTGCGGACTCGTAAACCTACGCGTTACGTCACTGACAACTCGTGACTTCCTCGGGGTATCACATATCGGACGCAGTTCCTCCCTATATACTGGACAACTCAACCCTCATCAATCGCGGCCCGCCTCTTACACACTCGGCGGTGCCCGCGCCATTTTTTAGAGGACTAATCTCATTCTGACCGCGGCCATTTTATTGGTGTCATCCTATACCAATATTGAATGGGGACATAATTATAAAACCTCGTTACTCACATGAAAAAACTACCTGAGATAACCTACAAACTATGGAGCCCTAATGATTATATTACTACAATATTAAATAAAAAGGGGGATGACAACCTTTATTGCATCTCAATCATCTAATCCCTTTAAAAAAAAAAAAATTAATTTGACAAAAATCTATATAAAAATTACAATTAAAAATTAATCATGACAAAAATCCATATAAAAATAGGGGGATAACCTATAAAATCAACACTCATTTTGAATTGATAAAAACTACATTTCATTAAAAAGTATATATTGAATAATAAATTACTAATATAATATCCCTTCTACATGTAATCTACCCACACATTAACAGAGTAAAATCTACCTCCATAAAAAATTTTATGTAACATAATAATCACTGGTATTGATATCAATCAATGCAGAATATTTCATATAGAATGTAAAACAATAAAGAAGAAATATCAAATAAAAATAGATTTAAAAGATAAAAAACTCCGACAAGTACCATCTCTATGTACCAATATACATGTTCATGAAAATGTCTAAAATCAGTAATTAATGTTGCTATAACTTCAAAAATCACTAATGAAGCAATTCAAATCAAATTCGACATTTAACCCTTTAGGGACCTGGGTATTCATATAATAAATCCACCTGGACTCCGCCTTGCTTAGGGATTTTATTTTATTATTCCCTCTCCATTGCCTCTTAAATTTTTCGATCCCCCAAAATTTTAATGTACTGGGGTCCTTATTGTGATATTTGGCAAAATGTCTAGAGACACTGTGTTTCGGGAATCCCTTATTGATGTTCTGGACGTGCTCCCTGAGTCTTTTCCACAGGGGCCTCTTAGTTCTGCCTATGTATTGGAGTCCACAATCACACTCCAGGCAATACACAACCCCCTCTGTTTTGCACGTTATAAATTCATTAATCTGATAGGCCTGACCAGTAGCAGTAGCAGTAAAATTATTCCTTCTTTTATTCTGTCGTTTTGTAGCGACACAAGTAAAACAATTCCTGCACGGAAAAAAAAAACCTTTTTCATTGAGGAAAGTGATGTGATTAGTTTTGGGGGGGTCTAATACATTCCTGACCACCTTTGACCTAATATTGGGTGCTTTCCTATAGATAAATCTGGGACCATCTGGTAACAACTCTCCTATGACAGGATCCAATTTAAGAATATTCCAGTACTTTTTGTAAATGCTTTCTATCTTTTTATAATGCGTATTGAAATCAAGGATAACTGCAATCTGTGATTCTATCTGTTTACCCTTATTCCTGTCTACCAAAAAATTCTCCCTGTCCATATTACCTACTTCCTTAATTTTAAACTCAATATCTTCTTTCAAATATCCTTTTTCAATAAATCTGGACCCCAATATTTCAGCTTGCTGGAAGTAATCATGTGCATATGTACAGTTCCTTCTAATTCTAACAAACTGACCTTTAGGGATATTAAAAATCCAAGGTGGGTAGTGGCAACTCCCCCTAGGGATATAACCATTACGGTCAACTGTTTTAAAGTGAGTTGTAGTGGTAATATGGCTATTACTTAACCCAATATTAAGATCCAAAAAATTAATATTGCTATCACTAAATTCCCACGTGAATCTAATATTTTTACCGTTATCATTAAGTTTACTCAAAAAAGTAGATAAGGTAGTTTCCTCCCCCCTCCCAAATTATGATCACATCATCGATGTACCTTTTATATACTTTCAACTCCTCTGGGTAATCTTGGTATAAGTCCTTACTTTCCCAATAACCCATAAAAATATTCGCAACACTTGACGCATATCTTGCACCTATCGCTACTCCTTTTATCTGTTTGTAATATTTGTTATCATGCCAGAAATAATTGTGACTCAGACAAAACTCCAGGCAATCTAATATATATTTTCTCTGGGTCCAGGATAAGTCACTGTAAGTCCTGAGCCCCCAGGTTACTGCTTCCATTGCATCATCATGGCTAATGATAGTGTACAGTGAGGATACGTCCGCACTGGCCAGAAAAAAGCTTCTGTCCACCTTTAAAGTTCTTCAATATTTGTATGAGTTGCTTCGTGTCTCTTAAATATGATTTCATTTGCTTTACTACTGGTTGCAAAAACTCATCAATATATTGCCCCATTCTAGCCAGGACCGATTGTATGCCATTTACAATTGGCCTCCCTGGTGGATTTTTTTCATCTTTGTGGATTTTGGGAACGGTATATATAACCGGTATTCTACATGTATCTGGTACCAGATATCTAGCTTCCTTTTTGTTTAAAATATCTTTCTCTACTCCCCTTTTTACTAATAATTCTAATTCTTTTTTATATTGTACCGTGGGATTTTTTGTTAATACCAGATACGTATGAACATCCTCCAATTGGGTGGCTAATTCTCTCATATAATAATCTTTCGACAAGACTACAATGCCTCCTCCCTTGTCGGCTGGTCTAACAAATAGATCATCCCTCTTCCTCAATTTTTTAATACCGATTTCAATGCCAATATTCCTACTCATCTTGGGGATGACCAGTTTATCCAAATCATTGGCAACCATTTTTTTAAAAGCATCAATTTGACTGTTGTTAGGAATCTGAGGATTAAAAAGTGATTTGTTTTTAAAATTTGTGTGGGTGATTGTACTACTCGGGGCATTACTTAACACATTCTTAGCCCCTGGTTGTCCTAAAAAATATTTTTTAATATTAAGCTTCCTAATGAATTTCTGAGTGTCAATGTAAATGTTAAATTTGTTTGCAGGTGCAGGGGAGGCATATTTAAGGCCCTTATCCAGGACCAACAATTCTTCCTTAGATAAGGTAATTCCACTCACATTGAATACCCCTTCCCCTACTGTTCTCTTTTTCTTTTGTTTTTGGTAGCCTGCCCTGCATCCCCTCCTCTTCCTGGACTTCTCCATCCTTCTCTCGGAGGACTCCTCCCCCTTAAATCTCTCTCTAAAAAATCCCCTTGTGGATACTCAGACCTCAATGGGTCAAACCTATTGAACATTGGGATGGGACTCCTTTCTTCATGTCGCTGATAATTCCACCTCCCATCAGGGTAATGTCCCTCATACATGTTAACATTAGGCATCCTAGGATAATATGGTCTGGGAAGGGGATATTGATAAGGTGGTGGATAGTAATTGGGCCTATAGTTCTGAAAATAGGGCCTCTGATTATATGGTGGACCCTTCCCTTGAGGTTTCCTATAACCCTTGTTCCCATTTTTAGGTTGCCATCCATTTTTAGGTGTATAGTGTGTCTGTGAATGATGATTATTAACTGTCTGGTTGTGTCCTCTAGCATTTTCTTTGTGGATAGGTGCATTATTACTGTCCCCCTCCTCTTTGCTTTTAACTGGAGTCGTATTAGTGGAGGCTGTTTCAACTTCATTTATGGAAGACTGCCACTTAAAAATTTGGTTCTTTTTCATGTCATTCAAATCACGTTGGTATTTTTTTGACTTCCTATATTTGATCTCCTGATCAACCTTATCCAAATCC